AAAAAAAAAGGTAATTACAATAATCAATAATAATAAGGTACTTGTTTGTTATCGCCCCGCCAGTACACCTTATAAAATTTATCGCCCCGCCACTCTTGTTTGTTATCGCCCCTCCAGTACATCGCATACAATTTATCGCTATTGCTAATTGTTTATGATCTATTTTAGAAAATGATAAAATGTACTTTTATCATTTTTATGATATAGGATATTTAGTTCGTTGCTGGCTTTCGTTTACCGTTTCATTTACTTATTACCTACTACAGAAAAATTCGAAAAAATTAATTTATACGTTAAAATGAATTTTACTGAATTACTTTCAATTGTTTCAAACAGTGATACTGGAATTAGCTTTTTACAACAACATAATATAGTTAAAGTTAGTGAAGTGTGTGAAAATGGCCATATAATGTTTATCAAGGGATCGCGATGGCGTTGTCAAAAAAGAAGTTGCCGAAAGGAAAAAGGATTACGAATTAATAATTGGCTAACTGGTTCTAGACTACCAATACACACAATAGTCCATTTCATATACTACTGGGCCCGAGAAATGTCTTCAGTAACATTTTGTAAACGTGAACTAAATATGGGACAAAATGCTGTGGTTGATTGGAGTAATTATCTACGGGAGGTATGTGTATGGAAGCTTGAAAATAACCAAAATAAAGAAATTGGTGGTCCCGGTCTTTTTGTTGAAATAGATGAAAGTTTATTTGTGCGTAGAAAAAATAATGCTGGGCGTATTCTGCCACAGCAATGGATTTTTGGTGGAATATGTCGGGAAACTAAAGCGTGTTTTATAATCAGTGTACCTGATCGATCGGAGAAAACATTGTTACCTATAATACAAACATATATAAGACCAGGCTCAATAATTTTGTCAGATTGTTGGAAAGCTTACAATAATTTGCAGCAAGTGGGGTTCAAACATAATACTGTAAACCACACCTATAATTTTGTCGATCCGGACACAGGGGCTCACACCCAAAATATTGAGAGGTTGTGGGGTTCTGCTAAATGGGGCAATAAAAAGCGTCGTGGAACTAACAGAAATTTTCTTGAATCATATTTGGCAGAGTTTATGTGGAGAACACGTCTCGGAAAACAAGACGCATTTGAAACTATCCTCAAAGATATTTCTGAATTCTGGCCTCCATTATAACTAAAATATTCATATATTTTTACATTTTTATACATATTTTATATTTTATACATTTTTAATTTACATTTTATGCTATACATTTATATATTTAAAACAAAATAACATTATAACATTAAAATAAAATAATATTATACATTGAAATATTTTTTTTTTTTTATGGAGGGGCGATAACAAACAAGAGTGGCGGGGCGTTAAATTTTATAAGGTGTACTGGCGGGGCGATAACAAACAAGTACCAATAATAATAAGAAGAAGAAGAAGAAGACAGCCATATTGAAATCAATTATATAATTAAATATTATCAGATTATGGGTTGATACAAAATTGTCACTATCATATAATCAGTAAGTAATAGGTATATCATATTACCTCAAATAACCATTATGGTAACTAGTAGATTCTTTGCTCACAGTATACAGTGTAATAATAGGTATAAAGATGTTGAATGTTCTATCCATGTGTATATTATTATCTATGGAGCACCGACCTAAGAAACGCAACTGCATTTGATTTTAATAATATTGTCTTGAATTTGATTTTTTAAGTCCGTATAAGTTGTGATCTGAAAGCGTGAATTGGTTAGTTCTAACGCCCTTTTTGGCTTCATGATCCGCTTTGTCACTCCCTTCTATACTGCTGTGCCCTAGTATCCCGATGAATGTTGTGTTTATTCCTTTGTCGCATGATTAAACTGATGGTAACGATATTATTACCGTTCGTAATGATATTATTATTACGTATATACATTCAATTCACGACGATGATTTATTGTAATTTGTAAGGCAATAATTCTACGCACCACGTTTCCGTGATGTCCTCCCTTCTTCAATGTGCGTCCGACTACGTCACGGTGGCGGCAGCAAACGATTCCGGGCGACGCGTATTTTGATTTACGGCCAAATATTGCATAAGTACTCTAACTATACGTTATTAGTTATTACTTATTACTATATATAATACGCTATGACGCGCGCCATTTTACCTGTGTAGAGGAACTGTATAAAACATATGACTATATCGCGTGTACTCGGAATTCGGTTAGTAGGTACATGAAAACGTATATAATAGGTAACCCCGGCGGTGTGTATCGATCTATGACTATGATATTATTATAATGTTTAAATGATATTCGACGAACCTGCAGAGGCTAAAAAAATAGCGCCGACCGAAATGACGCGTATTCGACGGCCTGGTTCGAATAATAATCATATAGCCATAATATTATATTATCGTCATTTCCTTTTGTGTACAATCACCGTAGTTTCTGCTGTTGTTGTTCCGACGGACAAAAATGTACGAAGAATTTTTTCAAACCACACACACGTATATATTTTAAAACGAGATATTATAAATATTAAATTCAACTGATGCGCGTCGTGCATTCTTAAGACAACCACGTTAAATTACTGCGCCTTGCTGTAAATGTAATTAAAACAATACGTTTCTCTCTCTCTCTCTCTCCCTGGCTCTTTATATCATCTTCTCAATCCGTCACTCTGAATTTATAACGCACTTCATAGCATATTATAATATAAAATTTACATCGTATTAACAATAATGTACGCGTGCGATGACAATTGACGCTCAACATAATGAGAGATGTGTTTTTTGTGGTTTGTAAACAATATATAATATGTGGAGGACGTAAGGCGTATAATAATTAATAATATAATAAAATCGATATACGTCATTGTTTTCCTTTCGTTTCCTGTTGGCAAATACGCAGTGAAAATTCAGAGGTTGAGTGGTATCAATTTAAATTTGGACCAAAACTGTCAGTGGACTCATCTCCATATAAACATATCTATTCAACAGTTTTATGGCATATCAAAATTATTATATAATATGCCCAATGTCCAAATAGATAAAAAAAATTTTTTCAACAAACATAATAAATGGTTCCCCGAAATTTCTACTTCTAATCCCTATGAGTCACGCCACTGTTAAAGGTAAGTGCCTAAGCTGTACCTATATAAGAATAATAATGTTATACCTAGTACCTACAACCTACATATCATATATTTTAGTGCAGTTCAATAAAGACAACAATGTTATGATATATACAATATACCTACGGCTATTCGTTATTTACCAGATCTCGAGATTCGTCCGATTTGTTTTCGTCTAGGTACTAGACAGCAGAATTTTTTATCCTAAACCTTTTACGAATTAAATATCCATCATAATATCAATGAATTTATAATCCCCTGAAATGTAGGTACATAACTTAAACTATAATAGACATTAGACAGGCACATAGTTATTCTATTGAGAGCGAGGAATATAAATAATTATTCATACAAAGTGTATGCGCGTTGTATTTATAAGCCTATATATTATAACAACGTCATATTATGACCGCACGTTACATGGAAATTCTATTACCCCGCCTCCTGTCAAAAATAAAATAATATTAATATTAGTACACATCAGGACAGTGTAGGTACCTATATGGCTATATTGCAAAATAAACGATTTAATGGAATAAAATAAAACATAAAATTAAAAAAAACAAAACATAAATTTCATAATATACGAATTATGTTATTGTTCAAATATTATTCTACTAGGATGTATTATATGTATATTGTAGTGTGTATTCGTATGACCATACTAAAAGAATTAAAAATGAGAGCAAAATAAAGATAATATGTTAGTTATAAGAGATTTTTGTTTCCACATTATAATAAATGCGCATTCTTCGTAAACTTTCTCTGCGTCTGCACCACTGTGGTTTCAAATTTTTCAATTTTCTTTTTTATACCTGAATTCCGGTGGTTCTATACCTAGTACGTTGAAATGTTGAGTATCTGTATGAAGAATGTCACTAAAAGAGATGAAAAAAAATCATTTTTATTAAATCGTACATTATACCTATTATAATAATATAATATTATATTATAGCTGCGCATTGTGCACCCCTCTGTTCCGTCTCCCAGTCACAGAAAGACTATAATTAGAAACTCCCACCAGGTATAAATTAACGATGACTGAAATGAAGAATTTGTTGGTTACATAAAATCCTCGGATTCCTGTAAAACTTTTTTGTTATCTCTGTCTCGAAGAACTTCATATAATAATGAATAATAATATATATTGTGGCTACGATCAATCACGCAACGCGGTTGAGGGTAAGTAACATCCGCTGCCCATAGTTCACGGATGGGTGACCATCCCGGGTTCGTAGTGGCAAAAACCTTGCCACACATACACTTGTTACTAACCAACTCTACCAACCGTCCCAACCCTACCAACCTTATAGGGTATTGATCTCAGTCGTCAAAACCTTTATCTAATAATAATAAAAACAAAATTTATATATTATATAATATTATAGGGCCGACGTAACTGTTGTCGAAAATCAATGGTATAATTCAATTATATTTTCTGGGAAACCGGGTATCAAACTCTCAATCTATTTCCTTGAAAAAATCACAACATTTCATATGTATAAGCCCGGGTTTTGAGAAGAATGTCAAGCCAATTTCGGTAATTTTGGAATTTTACATCAACATTGTAGGAAACTTAATTCTGCATAAAATGGTATCACTGTCAAAATTATACGATTAAATTAAATTGTGATAAAACTGTAATTATTTCAAAAATGTAAGATTTAAATATTTGTCTTCTGAGTAGTTGGTATTTTTGATTTGACACAATATTCTCACAACAGTCGTTCCATTAATCACTGCCCAGTGTGCTTTTATATCAGTCGTTCAGTATGGTATATACTGTAGTGCATCACAGTATTTTAAATTAAAATACAAATACATATTATTGAATCTGGTGTCATTTTTAAACAGCTGACCGACGCAGTAAAAAGTTCAGAAAGTCCAAGATGATTCTGGGATTCTTCTATGGACTTTTCCTGAGCCTGAGTAAGTAAAGCCGACTTTTTATTTCGCCATCTTGTCTTTCTATTATTTTTTTTTTCAGTTCTCTACCATTTCGTAATTGTCGATTTAGAATTCACCGATCAGACCACTCGTCTAATGGGCATCGTCATCAGTCTATTTTTGAGCATCGGCCATGCCATTTCACAACAGGTAAATCGATACACATCAAATCTAGATAATTGTTTGTAATCGACCGTTTGCGGACAACGAGTCATCGTTCAACATTTAACATTTAATAGATTGATATGTATAATATAATACCTGCACTTTCGATATAATATAATTAATAATAATAATATAAATACCTTTATATTACATTGGCTGTGCGGTAAACGTTAATGCATTACCTACTCAAAAGTTAAAAAAAAAATTTCACATGTTTTCATCAGGTATTAATTAAAATATTATATTTTTAGAGTACCGTCAATCGAGGTGACTTGGAACTTTGAGGTGAAATGAAACACCCCGGTTTTTTTTTAAACATATCAGGTTATCTATGAAACAAAATGATATCATTTAAATCTGCCTGCATTTAAATTAAATTTACAATATTTGTGATAATAAATGTTATCATCAACCATGTGGTTGGTCTTATCATTACCACCGAAAAAAATAACCAAACATTTCTTATGATAACAACGATTTTATCATTGCTCTCAAAAGTGCTTCAAATGTTGGTCATTGAAGTCAAATTTAAAGATTTGTATATTTTTTATACATTAAAAGACACTTCAAAAGCAGACTTTTGTAGTTAAAAGTCCTTAAAAATTTTTTTCTAATTTTATAACTTAAGTTTTATTTTACAGAAGAAAATTGAGGGTGACTTGGAACACCAAAAATGCCAAACAAATACGAGCGTATACCGGGTAGCCGGACATATATAAATGACAGTGACGAAACACTTTAATAGGCCCTCGATGATATTTAAAATGTATTTGTGTTTATTTTGAAGAACTATTTAGTTATGTTTTTCTATTTAGAAAGAATTTTTATTTTGTTTTTATCATGTTATTGATATTTTATTATTTAAATATTTAGTTTACTGTTAAAAAAAGGTAAAGTTAACCTGTTTCTTTTTAATATTTATTTAACATGTTCTTGTGTTAATTTTTAAAATAAAAATTTTGTTCCAAGTCACCTCTAACGTTCTTGAATTGAATTTTACATTAAATTTTCATAGCTGTTCCAAGTCACCCAAAAATTGAGGTGACTTGGAACACGTCCTTTTTACTTTTTTTTAAGTTCAGTTTTGGTCAAAAAACTAAATGAAAGGTCTTATCCTATTCATGAGACGTATGCAAACATTTATGTATTTTTTGTAGTCCAGTGCGATTTTTTTTAAGCTCAGAATAACAAGAAATATGTCAAAATCGTTCCAAGTCACCTCGATTGACGGTACCTAATGATAAATGTTATATTAACCGCAATATTATTACAACATTTTAACTGAGCCATTTAATAACATATACCATAAGTACTTAGGTAACATAATTTATGCAGGGTTGTTATACTTTTCATAATATTTTTATACATTTTATTTTATGTACAAATTTAAAAATTTTAACAACATGGTTACAAAAAAAAAAAAACAAAATGTTTTAATATTTTATGGTGTTGTAGCGATTTTTTATATTTTCATATGTACAGAAAATTAGCAACCTGTTTAATTGCATATTTGGAACCAAAATATAAAATATGTTAATATGAAATAATAAAATAATATTGAATCACAGATATAACTATTAAAAATTTAAAAAAACAATTTGAGAAATATAGACAAAGTATATCTCACGAAATGATAATGAACTACTCTAGCGAAAATTTCAAATTCTTATAAATATTTATCTGTGATTATAATATTATAAAATATATACAAGTTTATTACATATATTATAATATGAAACCGAATATCAAATTTAATGAGAGCTTGATAAAAAAAAAGTAAAAGTTTAGTAGTAAAAATATTGAGCTGACATAGTATGAAAAAATACCTTTTTTTAAAACACAAAGTCTACTTAAAAATGAGTAGCTATATCACGTAGAAAATTTCACTTTGAATTTATATTCAGAAAATATTACGAATAAACTGTCTAAATCTAACTGTCTGTGGGTTGTAGTTTATATCTACGTGACTAAGTATACTAAAAATCTGATTTATTCAGATTTAGGAAGGTACGTAACCACCATAATGGTATAATATTATGATTTCCCCATGTTTTGACGACATATATTATAGTAGGTATCAACTACATATAACGGATTATTGGCTTTTGAAAGTGGCTTATGGCAGATCCGGTCGGGGCACGATATAAAATAAAACAGTATATTATTTTAACCCCGTGAATTTTCCATTTGTGTATACAAAAACTGTTACTTTCAGTAAATCGGACAAAAGGAATATAAAGAATATTTTAATCTTGTAACGATCCGGGCAGGCACCAGCAAAATGTCTGTCTTCTACAAAAATTCGTATGTACAATGTAGGTACCTACAACCTACATAATATGTAATATTATAGCTGGAATATTATACATTATACTGATCAATAGACTGTATATTTACTTAATAATGTGACACGTGTCGTATAAATAAATAATCTAAAATGAATTTTTCCTTTCGAGTAGGTATACACATTCAAAAAATACACGCTTTATCAAATCAAAATATAAACATTGTTGAGATAAACAATTTATTTTTCTATGCAAATACATCGAAGTTTTTCACGAATTTTAATAATCAACGTATTCTCAATAACATCCACATAACAAGAGTCGTGAAAAGAAGGTCCACTTGTAACAAAAATCCAAATAAATAAAATCGTCTCAAATAAAACGTCCCTTAAGCTCTTATGAATGTTAACCATCATACGCATCAATAATAAATATTATAATTTTAATGCGCAATATAACCTCAAATATAGTGAAAGTACTTCAAATTCAGAGTTGTGATATTTTTTCATCAAAATTCATGAAAAGTTATTTTTATTAAAAATAGTTTTATTCTGTTTAAAACAAATCGTTTTATTTTAAAAAAATTAAATAACTAAAAACGTAAAATACTACAGATAGTGTAATTAATATAATTTATGGGGTGCAAAGGTTTTCAATTCCTCGTATATTTTTATTTTGATACTTCCACTTTCTGTAAGTATTTAGGTACATCGTATATCGTAATAATTATGCATACTAGGTGATTATTTGAGCTGTAAATTTTTCTTATCACATAATTACTATTTACTGTAATGCTGTTGAGCTATAAAAGTTTTATACTAAAAGCTATTAAAATAAATAAAAAGTGATTATTTGTTCCAATATAGGAATTATACCTCAATTATTGAACTGCCGAAAAAGCTTCTGAAACACTACTGCCTTAATTTTTAGGGATAATACAGAGAGAGAGATGTTCATCTAATTTTGATTTTTTGCTTAATAATAGGTACTTACAAATCATGTATAATATTTGAGCATGGTCAAAAATCGAAAATAACGAATGTCCAGTTTCGATTAAGTTAGTCTTTTTCTAAGTTTTAATGCATATATATTTTACCTCGCAGTACTTTTAAGATTCAACATTTCCTATAATTTCATTGTTGTAATATCAAAGTACATACTTAGCCATTTTTATACATACTGCATTCATTATGACAAGAATTGCAGTTGTGAAAGTATTTAAATTTATTCCACCCATTAAGTTTCAGATTTCAAATATAATGTAAAAATACCGCTGTTAACACATTATTTCACCATCATTATTAATTTATGTCTTTAGTATGATGTATAATTAGTTAGTAGAACTGTAAAACATAATTACTTGCGTAATAGCGCCAGGTGTGCTAAAACATTTCAAATTAAAATAAATATAAAAAAGTATAGTATATTTAATACAAAGAAATTGTAGGTGCAGTGCTTATTTTGTATTTATAGAGGACCCAAGCCCCTCAAAAACTGATATATTTTGGGACATTTTTAGTATCAATTTATTTATCCACGACTAAGTAAATATTCATTTCACAGCTTTCACATTAATTACATGTCAGTTCAAATAAACAAACATTGTGAAAAAAAAGTAACAGCAACTGCTGTTTGCCACCTGTTGATTTCTAAAAATAATAATATAAATAGTGTAACGGTTTGCTACATTAGGTGTCTAGGGAGTCACTATAATGGATGTGTTAAATTTAAATTCAATGATAAAATAATTTTGAGCAAAGAAGGTCTATCAGCCTCTAATATTAATAATATTACTTATTACTAAATATGTTATGATATTATTGTGATTAAAGTAATTGATTTTACTAATAGGCATTAGGTACTACAATAGGTTAAATTCATTTTTTCGAAAAGATTGCATTTGAAAATGTCATTGAGTGTATAAAATATAATAATAGACCTACTCTAAAAGTTTCAAGTACCCACTAATAATATTTTTAAGCTACGACAAAATAACTTAAATCGTTTTTTAATATGCAGTTTCGTCCCAACGTAGACTTAAAATAACTAAAACAAAATTTTTTATGAGTCAATTTTTTATTTGATAAATGTTCTCAAAATTTGAACTTTAAAATTTAAATGCTAATAAAAAAAATGTTGGCCATGTATTATTAATATTTTTAAACTGATATTTTAACTATGAATGTTGTATGAGCCTTGTTTAACATTTTCAAGCTTTTTGACCCAACCAACAAATCAACTAAAAAATAAAAAAAAACAAAAAAAAATGATAATGTCCGTTAACAGCTCAAAACGACTTCAAATGTTATCAAGTATAGAAAATGATAAACATATGATGTAAATTTCAAATATCCACGGTTATTCGTATTTGAATTGCAAGAAAATCACTCGAAGAGAAATCGAGTGAATATCCAATGTTGTACAAATTTCAACATAAAACGCTCATAAAAATTTAATTTGACTTTAAGTTAACTTTTTTATTTTAATGTAGACAAACTTATAATGAATCTTGTATTAAGTAAATTTGTTTAATCTTAGGTATAAAAAGAAAATTTTTTATGAATTTCCAACTTAAAATATTTTGATAATTTTCATGTTTTTTACGAATTCTGTCAAAAGTCTAACTTCATACTCCCCAAAAAAATTGATTGTGAATTTTTTCTCAGTCATTTTTTTTAATTTCCACTAACAAAAACTTATGAGGAACCTTTACATTCCATTTTAAAGTTTTTTAATAGATCGAACAATTTTTTATCCACATTAATTTAAAAAAAACTAATAAGTAACAATCGAAACTGCTTACTCCTATAATAGGCTAGTCAAAATATTTTAAGAAAATGCCAAAATGAATATTCAGTGAAAATTCCATGTTTTTTTTCACAGTCATTTTTTTTAGAGTTGCGCCAAAACACAATCGATTTTGTCGAAAATGATTTTGAGTAAATATTTCTGTTTTTCCTTATTTTTTTTTTTTTTTTTGTTTTTCCTGACTTAAAAACTACTGATAGTTTTAAATTGTGACCTGCCGATTGCACCAAGTAGATTCACTCTCCCACCGGAAAAGATACTGAAGTTGAAAATCGAAGCATTTTTTCTACTACTTAGTTATCGTGTACACAGACACAAAACATTAAAAATTTTAAATTTAACAAAATAAAATAAAAAATAAAAAACACAAATTGTAAAAACAATACATTCATCGCTCCGCTCAGAATCTATTACATCAAAAGCATTGTGTTTCATGTGTTAATATTTTAAAAACAATTTTATTCGAAAAAAGAAATAACGTTGTTTTTATGGAAATGTAAATAAAAAAAAAATTCAAACGTCACACGTCATACGGACAGCTAGTAAAACTGTATTAAATTATAATTTGTTGTACAGGTTCGGTGTTTGGGACTTTTGGCGATGCCGACGTTCTGTGACAAGTCTGGTCAACGGGTACTGGTAACCATGGTATTTGCGTACGTAATGGCCGGCCCTTTGAATAACATAATGAGAAACGGATCCGAAGTAATCAGAGTGTTCACCTGTTCCAGTGCGTTGGTATTTAATTTGACCAAGGTCCGTTATGAACTCATGTTCAAACCATTCCAGGAAGCACTGTTTAACCTCAGGGTATATAAATCATTATTCATTATAAATTATAATAATTTAAATATTATAAATAATAATAATATAATTTATAATATAGACGGACACAATTTACCCAAATTAAATTAATTATACCTACGTAGAATATTGTAATCTTATATTGAGTTTTATGGCCAAATTTAAGTATTTTAACCTATAATAGTCCTAATAATCTATTTAACCAGCTGCAGTTCCCGGATCCTCCAGGCTACGGAGTAAAGGTCTGGGTAACGAGATGCTCATCCATTGATTATTATAATATTGAATTTAAAACCCTATATACCTATATATCTGTTGTACAAACCACATAAATATATTTCCTGCATTTATACTTTAAAACAATATATTATAACTATTACGTAATAAAAAAAATCAACAACTTTCTTATAATAATAATAGTAATAAAGTACAATACATTTTTTATTATATTATAACCAAATCAATAAGTCTTATTGTTGATATTTATTAATTATTTACTTAACTTATTGTTTGAACGCCGAAAAAGGTCAGTAACGATTTAAGTTCTGGTTAAAGTATATTGTGATTGGTGGAAATTATTTAATAAATAAATAATCGCTCGTCAGTAAATCGAATGTATTTAAATCTTTCTACGGTGAAATATTATACTAGATAGCTTTAACCAAAATATTATTCGTGCAATATAAAAAAACGTTATTCATTACCGTAATAACTAAAATTCTTCGGGGAATGTACAAAAACTTATATAATTCACTTATTGAACCGACCAAACTGAGCTATAGAGAAAATAATTCAACCCACCTGCTCTTTCAAAGTGTAAAACTCGAATCGCGTCTACCGTCATTCGCTGTTTCTTATGTGCGAGACATTGATTGATCTTCCGTCCGGGCCATGTTTTTTTTTGCAAAACCTATGTGTGAGTATAAACAATTCGATTATTTGCAGTTAATTTAATACTTCTTATACTGGTATTAAATCAGCTGTACCCCAATCATTACTTGTAAGTTGTAAACACAATACATACAAGTATATCCAACCAGATACTTGTAAATCACACTATATTCTATGTAAGTAAAAAAATAATGTGCTTTATACACTATCAGTACTTATTATGAATGCATAATAAACCATAGTGATAAAAAAATAACTTTATTTTCAATAATATCAGTTTTCACTTTTCAAAAATAAATCACTCCTATTAACCTCTGTAATTAAATCAATGAACACACATGAAGTTATCATAAATATAAAATACAATACAATTTTAAAAACACTGTGTAAATGTGACTAATCAAATTTCATACTTTTGTTATTTATCTGGAATTTAGAGTAGGTACTATAGGTACCTACATTTTTTCCTAGCATAACTATTTTCAATTCTGAGCCGATCATTGTACTAAAATTTACAAAATATTTTGGTGATTTTTGAGCTATTTATAAAAATAATTAAGTTAGATTTTTATAAGTTTTTTTTTAAAATTATTGTCGACAAAAAGTTTTTGCACTATCAAAAAAACTTGAAAATTTAATACAAGGTTTCTCATAAATTTTTCTACATTTAACAACTGAACCTAACCAACTGGCCAATATAGTACTGATTCCTAATGGTAAAATAAATTACTTTAATCACAATAATAATTTCATAAAATATACTTAGTAATAATTATAATCTTACAGACTGCCTTCGCTCATAATCGTTCACTCAATAAAATGATTTTATACCATTGAATTCAAATTTAACACATCCATTCTAGTTTCTAGACACCTAATGTTCAGCAGATCGTCACCCACTTGCCCGCTGTTTTATAATGATTTTGTATTTGTGTGACATTGAAATGCAATTAAATATTTCACAATAAATATTATTCATTTTTGGTTAGCAATTTTTTCAAAAGTACTTTAGTTTTTTTATGACTTGCAAATCATACATATTAATATACAACAGAATTTTAGAACTCAAATATAAATTTTATTACAAAGCCCCTTCTACATTTTATCAAAAATAACTTACAATCTAATAGCTTTTGCTTATTAAGTATTTACTTTCAAAATAGTTGTAACCCACAACAAGTGTATTTCGATCTGATATATTATCATTATTACAATATAGTAATAATATAAGTGAAAACTTCATAGACTCTGTTACAACTTACAATACTATCCTATATAAATTCGCGTGCTGTACAATTCACGTGTACGTGTACGACGACGATTCTATAATATCCCAGTTTTTCCGGGAACTTAATAAAATAAAAAAATACAACAAAAAGTACGACGTTAAATATTCCGGGTTGGTTCTCGGCCCGGATGCATTTCTTTAGTGAATAATGGGTTTTTATCCCTTCGATATAATATTACCACTATACTACATAATGCATTATTATTTCGTTTGATATACGTTATAATATTCAGAGGCAGCGTTTGGGACGGACGCGTCTCAAAAATTGCGTATAAGTGCAAAGCGTCTAGTTGTTTCTTATTTCCAAACGTTTTAGTATTAAATGTGTGAGCGAAACGTATCATATCATTTAAGACATAATTAGTAAATTCATAATTGAAAAATTTCTGTTTGTCGTCGACAAAGAAAGCAGTAATCGGATAAAAACGTGTACGTAGAACCAATTTCACATTTCGCGTAAGACCAAAGTTGAACATATTATAAAGGAGACGTTATCCCGTCGCACAAAAAAATTCTCCTAAAATCACAAACACTGCTCTCTGCTACTGTCAGTTAATTAATACAAACAGCTCCTTTGATTTGCGATGTTTTTTTTTTTATCTTTTTGTCGACTGTTATTTATTTTGTGAACTTTAGTCGGTGTTACATCATGTATGTCTGGATAAAAAAAAAACTTAAAATTTACTGACATTAATAAACAGTTTTTAGCGATATTTCAATTTATCTATTAATTTACCTACTATACACGGAATAATAAAATGTCTAATCATTAAATTACCATCGAGTTGTATAATATATCATAATTTTAAATAGTCTATATAAATCTGTATATTATTTTGATTTTATTAATTTAGATTTAAACATTTAACACTGAATCTGTTGTTATAATTATTAAAAAAAAAAACATCAAGTTAAGGCTGATGCGATGCGATGCTATATAATTATTTATTTATTATACAGTATCGTAATTTACTTAGAGATACTTTGTTCTAATATATAAGATAGCGCTTTAGATAGGACAAAATACGCGCATGGTCGAATTTTTCATGTAAATTATACATTTAAGTTTCGTCCACATTTTCTTGTACGAATAAAATTAAAATTATGAAATTAATTCAACAATAGCCGAAGTAATTTTTTCAAATAAAACTTAAATTAAAAATATGTAAATCGTATCTTGATAGTTACCATTACAAACAGGTACAAAAACAGCTAATGACCATATTTGCTGGCTTAAGTTAATAAAAAAAATTAAAAGTAACATGTATACAATATGTTTATATTCGATTTATCAATATATTAGAATAAACCTTGTGGTTAACAGTGGTTAACAGGTTTTCATAGTCGGTAGGTATATCAAATAGTTGAAAATACTTCACCGTGTAGTTAGGTGATTACTGATTATTAAATAAGGTTATTTATAATGAAATGGTTTTACTTAAACAATATTATTTAATTTGGTGATTAACTAGAACATTTTGAAAACGGACCACGTGGTCTGCACGAAACACGATGTTAGTGGAAGAGTCCTACGTATAGGTAATAGTAATAGTTAAAGGCATATAAGTACATATCCAAACTCATACTACATTACTACTACGCTAAATTGTTTTTCACCAGTTTTTTCCTCTTGGCTTTTATTTTATAATAGAGCATATTTTTCTCTGGCAGTTTTCCTAAAATGGACCTATCTATTTCTAAAAATGTTTAACATTATTGACATTTCACCTGGGTATTTTCTCCATTGATAAAAATAGTCAAAACACTTGGACATTATTATCTAGACTCACGTATGAGTATAAACGTTATGATTATTAATGAAAATAATAACTGTGATTTATTTTTAACTCAAATAAAGAAAGACTTTAATACAAATTAATAAATAGAAAAAATAAAAAAAAAATAAAAAAAATAATGTATGATATAAAATTATATTGTTGATTTTCACGAAATTCTTATGACGCACGGGCAGGGCCGTCCTTTGAGGGGGGCGTGGGGGTGCGGCACGGGCTATAATAACGTACATGAGGATCCTAAGAAAACATAATTGCCGGTCGAACGCGATTCAAATTTTTATTTCATATCCACCTCACATAATATTTTTTTTCATCAAAATATAGATATTATATTGAATTATATTATTATCTGTAAAATATTATAAATTAATTTTCTTCAAACTGCAACTTTCCCTATTATAAATCAGTCAAAATAAAATATCTCATTATTTAAGTGCCACAAATTATTTCCCAAAAGAAAAACATAGTTGAATGGAATGTTGATGATGAACTATTATTATTTATTAATAATTAGAATAAAACCTAGGTATTACATTTTCGAATTAATTAATTTTGTTTGTGAAGCGTTTTGATATTTACTTAAAACTATAGTTACTTACTTAGTAGTTAGTGATGTATGTGGTTTATCATTTATTTGCTCAATGCATCAATATATTGTTTCCTGCACTACTACTTTCATCGGATCATTGATTTTCATATTATTATACCCAACTACTTGAAAATGAGCGATCCTTTTAGAGTATAAAAATTATATTTGTGAAGTCAAATAAATTACTGATAAACAGGGGCTTATTGGGCCACCGGGAATTCGGGAGTTTTCCCGTGGGCTGCTTTTTCAAATAACTATGTATTCTTAAATTTCTATTAGGTACCAGCCCAGTAAATTTGCATTTTTTTCCGATTTTTCAAAATAAGATAATACGAATTGGATTGCGGACAGTATGCAATAGCAGGTATATCAGGTAGGCAATCTACCTACGGTGGATTGCTAACACAACGATGAGAGACAGGAAGCAAAAATATATTATTTCTCGAAAAGCAAAAATAGCAAATGTAATATAGCTGGGTCACTTGTTAGGACAGTTAAAATCGAAAACAACCCTTGATATGTTATGTAAAACCACATTGGGTGATCTCTAGGTAACGACAAACTTCGGAAAAAGTCTACTTTACTTGACATCCCGCGGAAGTAGAAAATAGAAAAAGTCAACCTGATTTGAGCAGTAAGCACTGTAATATCGAAAACTAGACAGGGTTTAAATTTCCGAAAATTGTTTCATACACTTTTTAATTCAGTATACTAATACAGTAGTACACGTATTTCGGGTGTAAAAAATTTGAGCGTCATTCGTTTGGGCGAATAACCCAAAATTAACTTGAGTAAAGAATATATCATTTGGGCGAGAAATTAACCGATCGTTTAGGCGAATTTATAAATTATTGAATAATAGGGAAGTAACATTACGTAGGTATACAATGGTTTTTATAATATTTACTATTTAGGTACTACAGCTAAATATTATTATTATATCGTTTCGGCTGATTGGTCAATACAGATAGTGAACTATAATTTGTTAGATTGTACTAAGACGGAGACAAAACATTTTATTCAATATTATATTACATAAAAATACTAAAGAAAAACAAGACTATACAATTTTTCTGGTTGTTTAGAATTAAAGTACCTACATAATGTTATTATGAATAAACCACAGTAAAACATTTTTTTAGAAAATAAAAAGATAGTAGATACACATAATATGTTACATATTATACATATTATATTTTGCATGTTGATTCTGTTAATTTACGAATTTACCTATCAGGTATATTAAGTGGAAGTTAATTATAAGCTTTTATTTAAGTCTAAAAACGCATTATTAAATATTATTGAATCGGTAATATTGTAATAACCTTTCTTATTAAATACAAAAATCGTAACATTAGTAATTTAAATTATTCACTTTTACTGTGTTATATAAGTACTTGGAGTTTGGACTATTATAAATGTGTAAACATAAACTGTTCAAAAATAAAAATAAATTTGATATCGATGTATAATGTATATACACTACGAATAAAGCTTTATAAATTTCATATCTCGCCAAACGTGTAGTTATGTTAAAATAGTAATACATAATAATATTATGTTGGCTAAAATTAAATATTTGGTAAATTGGTAAGTGGGCCGGTATACTTTGTATTTTCCCTTTCCGAAATCTCTCCCCAATCCGCCCCTGCTGATAAAACTTTATCATATTATAATATGCAATATTCTATTTATTATTTTAATTCACATATTATATAGAAATTATATTAAATTTTTATAATATTTACCTTATAGAGTAGGGTCATTGGACCCCTCCCCCCCTTCTATCACACCGTCCAGCCCCGTATACTTGTACCCCCCTCCCCATATTACCTATTGTAAGCATTTATCACAGATATTATAATATATTCTTGTTTTGTAATAAAAAAAAATGAAAATTTACCTACTTGCGATACTTACCTAAAATACTAATTTATCGTTATTCGAATCAGTTCAAAAATAAACGTCAAAACTCAAAACCATTATTAATTAATCATTGTCACAAAATTGAAAATATTACACCTTTATACCACGGCGTAATTTCATGGCTATGATGTTAACGTTATATGGTTGTAAATTAATACTTACATATTGTCATCACATTTGTAAATATTTGCAGGCTGAAACGAACGAGATAAAAGAAACCATAAATTCCATCAACGACGTGATAGATCCGATTCGACAGGAATTCGAATCAGACAGTGACGATATCGTACTACACGAGAGAAACGACTACTTAGACGATCTGGAAATGGTTCGTTACAAAATAACCAATACAATATAATATAAAATAATATTATTGTTATATGATATAATTTTGGTTTAATTGTTCCGTCCAGTTTTTGAAAACTCGTAAAACAATTGAAGCGATAAACATTTTTTTAAAAACAAAGCCATCAATAGTGTTATACAATATAATATTTTACTTTGTCTCAATGTGCATTGGTGTATTGTATACAGTAAACACTAATACAAATCTGATATTTTGAACCATTCACGAATTTTACTTTTCTGTCAATATTGAGCAGCTGTTGTGTTTTTAGTTTCACATTCTATTACTATAACTAATTTTATCATTTTAAAACTAAAATAGGGATTCAGTGACATAATAATTTATCCAAAAGCACTTTAATAATATGTATAATGTATAAGTATTGTATGTATATAGGTATATATATATATATATATATATATCTACACACAAATATAATAATTGTCAATTAAATTGTTTATGTTTAACCATTCATAGCTAGTTATCCTGGTCTACAAAACGTGTTCTCATTTTATCTGTAAATAAAATTTCAAAAAATCGTATATTATACATATTATGGTTATTAAAGCAAACTCGTGGCAATAACGTGTAGAGGTACTTTTTATTTTTAATTAAATATTTTATTTACAAAGGGCTACAAATTCCAAACAAGAAACAAAAAATTCTCCCGTTTTTCTGCATTATAAAAAATGTATATTAAAAACAATTATTAATATATTATATTATAGTATCACGTTGGCGTATTTTATTTTATTATATACAAGCGTTACGGCATATTATTAATACTATAAAACGAAATTCCATTATTCAAAATCTGACTGACACAAACGCCGGCAACAATTTGTCACTGACGTCACGTCAAGTTCTACATTTATAGCTGACTGTGTACATAATATTATTATTATTATACCAGTATTCTGTATCTGAAAATCAGAAAGGTCCAAGTCTATATTTTAACTTTTCACGAGAACCAAAAAACTGAAATATATTATTTCATTATAATTGTTTTTTTTTTTTTTTGGTCAATTGTATTTTCTACATAAATTGTTTAAGTACCTATTACAATAACTTAGATATTGAATAAAACTATGTGTATATATATTAAGTATAATGTTAAAATTTTGCTTTGCCAAAACATTACATTTATAATATTATGTAGGTAATATATTACAATAATAAGTAAATAACATTGTTATGATGATAGAGAATACCTACTCGGATATTTTTGTTTTAGAAGAATTTGATGCTTCTGTACTTTAACTTAATATTTTTACCTGGTTTTTAAGTTCAAACAGATTCTAAGTTCAGATTATTATATACACCGTTATTGGATTTAAATCCAAACAATGTGGACTTGAACCATATCCCACTGTAGTGAAGACCCTTTCGACGTTAGATTATTATGTTTTAATCTGATTTTTTAAATAATAATTAATTCATAGTTATCAACGAAGTAAAAATATAACCATACAAAATGTACGTAGGAAATATTAACAACCTCAGTTTTGATTAATATTGACTAGACGGTTAGGTTAGGACGGCTAACCTATTCTGCTTCTCATGTACAGAAATCATAATTTAAATCACAGCTTCCCTAAACTTTTTGGCATATATTAAATTGTTAGATAATACGTAATTTGACTCGTACTCTGACTCTATCAATGTTACACGCAGTGGCGTCATTTGTGGGGGGGCAAGGTGGGCATTTGCCCCCCCTTGTCATTAGCGGGCCGCTGGCGGCCTACTAACGGGCCGGTTTAAGAACAAAACAATGGATGTTATCTATTTTAATTTTTATATTTGAACATAACCTAACAAAATCACCACTTGTGAGAGTGAGAAACTGCCTTCTCTCTCTTACTTAAAAGACCGCGACCACTTGCGTTGTATATCTTTCAAAAATGTGTGTTATTTATGCCTAGAGTAACCACAGTTATCTCAGATAACCAACTTGTATGTATATAAATATAACTATGTAAGAAGGCTGTTTGTATTGAGATAAAAATGTAATTGTTAGAGAGCGGTTTTTTTTTTTAATTATGGGCCGGTCAAAACTTTTGCCCCCCCCCCTTTCAAACCCTGAAATGACGCCACTGGTTACACGGTACTATTTGTCTATAATATGGTGTCCATAAATAAATACATCACAAGCAATGAGTGACGATAAATTCAAGTGGCGCTTTTTTATTGTTAGCACTTATTATTTTCTTCATGTTTCGATATATTCTCCCAATCTTTATTATAATATGTACAATGTTTTGTTTGCTTAAATGAAAAAAAAACATTTTAAACGTTCATAATCTTTTGTACATTACACTTTCTATATTTATCTATTTTTCTAATACGAGTTTCACCCCTAATCTATAAAACATATCCTGTGAATAATATACATTGCATCTTTAGCATTATAATATACAATATACCTATCACAAACAGATTACGATTCGAACTAATCATTTTCAAACACTTAATTAAATATTACGCTGTGTATGACTCAAACCCGGGGGCTTCAGCTCATTGCTCGTTGTTGTATTGCTGTTATAGAAACCATCGCAAATGTACAATTCAAAATCTTCCGGGTATACGAAAAATATGTACAAGATCCCGGAGCCGAGTGAAGTGGAAACAAAGTACAGAGATAAATTGAGCAGAAAATGCAAAGGTTAGTAAACATATTATTAAACAGATGCTTAACTGTGCGGTTGTGTGACGATTATAATACTAGACTTGGGAAACAAACGAGTCTATGTATAATTCGCAGTGTTCAAAATGTAATTGTAAAAATATATAGGTTCAAAATTTTATTATAATTTATACGCCGAGGAATAAAAATTCGAGATCTGAATAGAATAATTGTACTTGGATTACTTTTTTATTTCAGTTAAAATGAGGATTGCAGACTATATAATAAATTGTCGTCCTAATAGCAGTTTAAAAGAAGCAATAAAAAAACTAACTATAGGAAAAATTTTTAAGACGTTAGACTGAAAATGAAAAACAATAAATATACCACTGCGCTGAGTCGATAAAAAAATTGTCGTGTCCTATACTTCTATAGTCCTATAACAGTATAATATAACGGCGCAAGTATATTCAAATTCTAAAGTTTAAAGCATTACTTTATATTACATTTTCATAGAAACAAAACGAACATAATAAAATATAATATAAATCGCATCTACGATTGTGTAAAAAAACAAACAGAAATTATTAATAGAATATAAATAAAGCAAATTGATCCGCATAAGCCAATTTCTAGTTTAAAGTTGAAAAGTGTAGAAAACAAAATACCGTAAGTAGTACTTTCAAGTATACAACACACATATCGAGTTATATTCGAGCGTCGGAGCGTATACAAGACATCAAAAGTCTAACTGGCTGTCATATCATTCGTTGCCGATCATAGGTGATAGCTATCATCACATTCGTAATCCGATATTTTTGACGGATAGAAAAGCCGCTGTCAACTTTCAAAAAATGAACATTCCCCGAGCATCGTTACAATGTTTTCACGAAAATGCTGAGACGGTAAAGTTATATAATTGTAGTTGGCATGGAGTTCGACTATAATCATTATTGTTCGAATTTTTCCTCAACAACGGCAGAATGGTTCTTCTTAGTAGACGCATGTTGACCTTGTCCACTACAGGTAGTTAGGAAACTTCGTACGGCTGTAATTCGATTTTGGATACTAATGCGCTCGAATATAAACATTCCGTTTATCGATTGAATTCGTTTTTATCAACAACAAAAAATGTGAGCTACTTAGCGACGTTGCTGTGAAAAAGTTTTAGCGAACGATTACTTTGTTTTATGTCAAGCGATGACTGATCGTAGATGTACTTGTGGCTATTACGTATTTTTTAATATCGGTTGCAGGCATCATCACCCGGGCGGACGACAAGTGCAAGGCAGCGTTTCAGACCAGCTACAACATTTGCAAGGACTCTGTACACTGGTCCGTGAACTGGGCCCTATGCTGGCCCATGCAAGTCACTTTCGTCTGCAACCTTGCACCACGTGAGTAGAGCTTTGGATAAACTTCGTCTTTTTTTCATCCCAGACAGTTATCGCGAGTCCTAAGACTGAATAGATTACATACATACATGTTTTTTGTAGTTATGAAGTTATTAAATATATTGTGAAGTTATAACATTCTTCCTTGGTACTAAACAAGTTGGTATTTAATACAAGTAATAAACTTAGTACAAAGGAAGAATATTTGATTAGTATTAAAATTTAAAATAATATTTTTTTTTTAAATAATTAAGTATTTACTTACTAAAATAATAATTGTTAACAGTATCTATTACAGTATTGCACAACGTCACAATATAAGTGACTAATGATAAATTCTAGGAACCAACTACTAGCAAATTATAGTATTACAATTTTCATTACCTATATTAAAAATGTGTTAAGAGGACTTCTTACCAATTTGCGTATTTATCTTCGTCTTTTTGACGTATAGCATATTTTACATTCAAAATAATCCGTTTTACTCTGTAGTTTTTAATATTAGAGTGAATTAATTAAATCATAAGGTAAAAATATAAACATTTTTAGCGTTGAAATTTCAAGGGGGTTACTCAAGGGAACTCCGGATACGAGTGTAAAACCTGAATGTAAGACCCGCGCGATATTTATATACCTACACCACACCATATTAATGTGTTATCGTGATGCAGTGTTTGGTGGCGGAGACGTGTGCGATTCCGGGACATCGGTAAATTCCGGTTTTGGCAAGGGATACGTGTACCTGACAAAGTCCAAGGACGAATTAAAACGAGAATTCCTGCACGTAAAAGTCAATTACAAGTTGAACAAAGTGAAAATAATGGTAATGTCCGCGCATTCGGTTAGACCATAATTCTATATAGGGCAGTAGACTTACGGAGCTCATCTATTATATACGAGCAGTCATCGTCAGGAGGCGCGTTGAGGTGTGTTCTGGTTATTTATAGATTTAGACAAATTACATTTTCAATTGCCTTCTCTCTTATAATACAAGTTCCTTGTTCACTACAGCGCACATTTGCCTATATTATCCATTTTTTAAACAAAGTATAAACACTATAAACATTATACTATCCATTTATAAATATTTAATTTAAAAGATTAAATTTTACAAGCAAATCATAATATTGTGGTGGTGTTTGTGGCAAAGTTGTTTGACATTTCTCCGATTAACATTGCGAAAAATAGACCGTGTTAACGAATTTGAGTGCTTTATTTAGTCTTTATATATGTCTGCACGTTATTTAACCGAAGATCACGTACACCATTCGATTGAGTTTGATAATAATAATAATAATAATAAATAATATACGTTATATAAATTTTGTCCTTGCCGTTTTAACAGACTTTACTCTAACTACTGTTAGCGCTTAAGAACTGATCACTTGCTTTTCTTGGAGTAGTTTAGATCAAAAATAAGTGATGACATTGTAGCTGACTTGCTTTGAAAACCCATCACAATTCCAATCAAGGTAAATGAAAAAAAATGTGAGAGTTTAATCATATGAACGAAACTAAATGCTCTAGTCTGAGGATTTTCGAATACGTACCTACTCAGCGCTGCGTAACGTTCTCGCTTAAACGGCCTACTACTCAGTTCACGCACAAACGGTCCACATGTTTTTGGATAAAATTAAATAAATTATATTCACATTTGCCCAAATGGCCGGCCACTGTCCACCGGGAACAATAATAATAATACAATATTCTAAGCCATCCGATAACAGTTGTTCATAATATTGTGCGCTCGGTTATTGAATGCATATAGTATTGTCTATTATCGAGTATTATATTATTTAATTTATTGTTATATTATGCCTGCAACATGTAATTTGAGGTAAGCACCGTATTCAAATTTGCACCTGGGAATCAATAAGAAACAAATGAACAAACGGTTTACGACAAGTGACACATATAGGGATACCAACATTTTGTCTAATTCGAATCCGAATAAATAACAACGCTTATGTTTTGTATTGATTTACAATTGGTTGAAATGGTTGAATGGGGTGGGAACTGGGAAGTGAAGCCGGAGACATTGTTTCGTATAAAGTATCCACGTATAACGACGGCCCGTCGGCCGAAGAAAAACCATTTGTAACGTTCGTAATTCACAGACAAATTTACTGCAATGTACCTACGTAAGGTATACCAACGCGTATAGTATTGTATTATCTGCCTACATAAATAATGAATGAATTTTTATTCGAATTTCGAAAAACGCGTTTATTTATTTAGAATGTCTATCCGCTCTTATTCTGAACATTTCGAACACGCCAATAACCCAAAAGAACCGCTTCTGCCACTGCATTATTTATATCTCAATTTTTGACTGTAACCACGAGACATCCACCACATATTTCTAATAATTATAATGAAATTAAGGCAAGTCAATCTGGTGATCAAAAGCCGATTTTTTTTCGTCACGGAACTACTGCATTACCGTTATTTCCACGTTAGGATATTTTATTTATTAAAACGTGTGAATAATTGTTATGAAAAACATGTTTCCATAGTATGAATTGTATTTTGTATTCGTTTCCATGACCACTATCATACAAATAAGTATAATATTCTCTATAAATAATCCATCAGCTGTTACCAAAGGGTATAAAATATAAAAGCTAAAAATGAACACAAGGCCTCAAAAATAATACTTTTTTACAATACCTAACATATTATATTATACAAACATTTAATAAATGTGCCAACAATATTTTATTTATTCATCACGTTATTAAAACTATATTATAAAAACAATATACAAGGTGGTCACCAAGCATGCTCACTCCTATTTTTCCTTTTGAATTAAATTAATTAAAATTCTGATTTTTGGAATTTTTAAGTATAGGTACTCAAAGACCATATTTCAAATTTTTGAACTTTTTTTATTTTACTTCAAGAGTATCTTGTGGCAAATATAAATTTCTGTTTTTCAAATGCAAACCCCCTTTTTTACTTTAAATCATTTTAGTGGATCATTTTTTGAAATTTGTGATGGTACCATTGGTACCTCATTCAAAATTTGAATGAGTAGTTTCTTAATTATTAAAATGTTTGTACTAAGGATAATAGTCCTTAAAAATGGTTTTACAAAATATAAAATAGACGTAAAATTGGATCTACTATTTTTTATTCTTTGGCCTTTTTTTACAAATTATTCATATTAATGATTGAAAAAATCACCATAGCCCCCATATTTTATCAACTCATTAACGCATGCAACTTTTATCCTTAAAACACAAAGTCAAATAGCTCAAAATCTATTGGTACGTTTCAATAAATTATCCACTATATAATTCACAGTTGGAATGGTGGTGAGTTCTCATATGAAAATCGAAAGTTTGTATCTCCACATGACACTCATTAAAAAGTACAAAAAAATCTCAAGAATTTGAAAACATGAAGGTCATATAGTATTATATTTAAAAATTCAAAATATCATATTTTAAATAACTTCATTATTAAAGAAAGCCACCCTGTATATATATAAATTATATCATAAAAGTCTTCTTCCTTTTTTTATTATTACTTATTAAGATAGTAATTTAACTGTAGATTAGACAAGCTTATAATATTGATTTTGCTTTTAAAATATCACGGTCGGAGGTCATCATTGTTTTCCGGTCGCTTATCATCTCGAGCGCACAATTCTCCGATAAAAAAAAAACGACTGTGATTTATAAACTATAAGCAAGTTAATTTCATTAAGACAGCTGCAAATAATGTTTACGTTACGAGAAACCGCATACTATGTATACCCGAAAACCTTAACATTACCAAAAATAAGTATGCCCAATTAATACGTATTTCTGCGGCTGGTAATTAGCCGATATAGATTTGTATATATAGTGTATTGGTTGAAGATGTTGAACATAAATGGATTTGCTACCTATCGTTATATTTCCGCACTAAATATCGTTTCGGGATTGAGGCTTAACTACTACACATCATCGAAAACCGTTTGACATTTTTAGGTCGTAATACACTCATACCCATAATTACAATTTAACGGCCGATAAATTATTATTAAAATATACAAGTAAGTGTGTAGTGTGTCGTGTCGTGTGTTGTTGTGTGTGTGTGTGTGTGTGTGTGTGTGTGTGTGTAACGGGATATTATTATCTTATTGTGTGTAATGAGATATGAGGCTTAACGCGGTAGCATGTTCTCCTCTGGATAAGCGGTTTAGCGGTATAAATATATATTTTAGTATACATAAAGATTAACGCACCCTTCCTCGTGTTTTTGCCCGTGTCCTTGTTACGACACTCAGCCTGATCGATTTCGGGACGCTTACGACGTAACCAGGGACATGATGATAGATTTCCGGGAGAAAAGGCGGACGGCCGAGTTTGTGTTCGTATGCATACGCCGTCTGCTGGCCTTTTCGTTCCTCAAAATACTGTTGGAGTGAGTGCGTCTACGTCACCTAAGAAATGGCAATCATTTATGATTGTTGATTATTATTTTCTCCGTTACTGTTTGCAGCAGTCAGAGCTACATGCACAAATACCTGACGGACATCGAACACGACAACACTTACGTTACCCGGTATTACCGGAAGATCGACGCCCGGCGCAAACATACTGGCAAGCACACGTTGCTACCGCTCAAGAAGACCGAAAAAAGCAAAACGATCGACTTGAGGAGCTACAAGCTGGTTAACCGCGAGTGTGACCACCTGGTGGGTACATTTCACTTTCACTTTTGTGTCTTTCCATAGTTTTCGGTGTGGCTATCTCGTAAACAAGGCTTATAGTGTTCGGAAACCGCTGCCTGAAAGTTCTATATTTTTACCTCAAGTGCGTAATTTAATCGACGCGCAGCCAAAGGTGTAAATAAAACGTTTCTTTAATAATATGAATAGTGTGTAAAAATAGCGTTCACAATTCATGTCCTTTCATCGTTTTCCTACAGTTACATCGTGATAACGTGTATATTATTTAATTTTTTTTTTTTTAATTTTGTTATTTTGTTATGACGGTTTATTTTTTTTAAATGTATTATTATAATTAATGTGGCAACAACAACAGAAAATGGATTCTTTAGATTTTATTATTATACCTCTCTCAATCATAAAAAAAAATAACTGGATACAAAAATATAAACAAAAAACCCAGAGTTAAGTAAAATACGCATTATAATACTAGTAATAATAATTTTTAGTTAACTTTACAAATTCAAATATGGCTTCGTTTTTGGCTTATTTTTCTTATTAAGTTTTTTTATTATTTTGAACAACAGCGAAAACAGTATGATAGATGATGCTCGCGAGTCATCGAAGAACCCCAATCGGCAATGTACATATTGAACCCCTCATGGGGATCGAGAATTCTCTCGAACAGATGATGGCCCATTATATCCAACCTAACCAAACTTAGAACATAGGGTTTTCATAGTAACATTATTTTAGACTTGTTCAATAAATAATAGGTTAATTTCTTCGCACGGCAGTACGCCTGCAGGTCAAATTCAAACAGCATGATGTGTCTTTACTTGACCCAATTCACCAGGTTTATCTCACCCTCATACCACTACTTCCTTGCTTCCGTGGCTTTGGAAATTTGAAACATTAATTTAGCCGTGATAGCTTAGGACAATGAAAAAGTCGAGTCCATAATATTACACCGTTTGAACAACGGTGTTTTCGCTAGACTAAAGGAATAGTTACTTACTATATATTAGTAGTATTGTTATTTATTATTAGTAACTAATTATTCGACAGAAAGGCAAAGAGTATTTACCTCTGCACCACCACTATACACGCCTACATAGTCCCAGAGATATGGGTCAGCGGCCTATATCGGTCGCCAGCTGACTTCATACACTCAAACACGTACGCATGCTGTTTAATCATGAAAATTATTATATTGTGAATAATTATTTTTATTTGTAAGGTTATGTGATTGTAAAACGTTTTGTTTTCATCCGAGAATCGTCTGTATTCGTCAACCGTGCGCACTTTTTTACAATAATTATATTATGTTTTATTCAGTTAAATAGTTTGTCATTTTATACTTAGGTATATCAAATATTTTTGTGGGCTCGAATATCCCTGTTTTTAGATATAACTACTTTTGCGTACCTACAGCACTAATAGCTAACTTGCATATATATATATATATATATGGTATGTACACCTCAAATATATGATCATTTATTTTGTATTATTTATTGCATAGTCAATAATCGCTATTTAAAGCCTATGGGCTTTAATAGCCTTATGTATTATTATACTTGTTAAATATTCTGTTTTGATCACTCGCGTGAGTCTAAACATGTATCGACCGTACATAACAAGGGTAGAGGGTGTTTCATCAAAAACTTGCCTGTTTGAATCATAATCACATGTGTTAATATTATAGATATTTATAGATTATGCAGCATTGACTCGAAACCATACCGCATAGGTAAGTCCAATTTTTGTTGTTAACAATGTAATACCGTGTTTGACGTTGAACCGCGGTGTTTTGGTAACTGCACGGATTAAACCTATCCTAAAACACATCCTGCGAGTCTTTCGTTTATATAATCGTTCATACTATAATCGTATATTATATATATACGACTCTGGTGGTATTTGTGTGACGAACAAACCCGATAGTTTAATATTATTATTGAGACATCATGGCCAACGCATCCGCGTATAATTAACAAAATCCGAAAGTTAATGAGTAATGACAACCGTACGATGTTAATACAAACCCAAACTTGGAATAGTTAATATTATGTGCCTAAATAAGCTCTTGGCTATAAATCTAACGCGTTTTCGTCCCTTTCTGCTAATATGATATTTGATCAATACCATCTAATTATAATATGCACCATGCACGTGCTTGTCAATTGCATGAGGTAAAATAACAACAAATTATGAAAGTGAAAATAATAATTTTCATCTTGATAGACTTTCCAAATCTTTTAACTAATGCAAAAAAATATACGAATTTTCAAGTACTTACATATTACTGTCAGGCTCAAAAAAAGTTAAACAATATTAAAAAAAATAAAGTTAGTTGTGCTTAGAAAAGCAAACAGGTGGTAAAACTACGACAGTAACATATATCAAATCACGCATACATAGATGCAGATATAGTCGACTAGTATTATAATTAGTACCTATGCAATCCTTAATTTCAGTCCACCCGTCCTACCAAATGAAAGTTATACATATTACATTATCCATCACCAATATGTACTTATAGTTTATAAATTATAATATGGTAACATTAGTATTGATTCGATTTCCGTTTGATAAGCAGGTTGTAAGCGATTGCTGTTCTCGAAAACAGTTTTTAATAGCACAGGCTGGTTCATAAGACTATTTCATCGATTCTGTTTCTTGTCCGGTTCCTAAAATTTTATTTTCGGTTATCGACACCAATTCCGATACTGATTCTTTTTTTAACATTATTAAGAATAAGAATAAGAATTAAGAATAAAACAATTAAAACAATACATTTATAATTAAGAACTGTATTAATATATTCAATATTCATATATGAATTTTAATATAAGTCATAAATTAAGTTTTTTATTTATATTATATTATTGAACATTTATATTTAAATATTTAAATTTTTGTTGAGGAACATAAACATCCTCACTTTGTTTTGATAATTGTGCTTAGTCTGTTTCTCTTCTTAGCAACAATCAATCCAGATATTGAAAAAAGGCCTCATCAAATAGTGTGACCTAAAGAAAAATCGGAAAGAATAGGTACCGATAAACAATTATGCTAGAACCGTTAATTATCAGCTCCTTTAGTTCTCGAAGAACCGATGGAACCAAAGAACCGGTACCCACCACTAATTTTTGATAAATATCACAATTTTTAACCACTTATTTTTTATTTGCATAACAATAGTATTATGAAACTTAAGTATTAATAGTAGGTATATTACATAGAACTATCATAAAACTTATAATTCAGTGTATGGGTATAAGCTAAAAAGTGATTGAAGATAGAAATAACAAGATACCAAATTATCTCGTAAGCTAGTGCATGATCCCGATGCAAGACGTCATTATTCGATAATAGTAAAATACATTTTAATACAGTAGTCACCGCTTAGTGGACTCACTTTGGGACCCGACAATTTGAGTCGATTAACTGAATGAGTCAATAATTCGAATGACTCAAAAAAATTTTAAAAACTTAAAAACTTTAAAATATGTACTAATTTTAGTTCCTCTAGTTTTTTTATTTTTAAACGCGTAAGTGTGCTCAGGTAATGCCCTGAAATAAAGTCCAGTTTCATCCGCATTGAACACACAAGATGAAGGATATTTGGCGATAAGAGATGGCCATTCTGAATTAATCCACGACCGTGCAGCTACTTGGTCTGCTTCTCCCTGTTCTCAGTGTGGCTTAACAAATGAAATGTTTTCGCGTTTCTCCCATCGGTAAAACCAACCTTCTGTTGCCACAAAATCTTCTTTACCCATTTTTTTCTCGAGATCTTCGGCTTTTTGGAGCAACAGTGGTCCTGTAACTCGGATATCTTTTTCTCCGACTTTTGTGAACCATTGTTTGAAAGCTTCTTCAACTTCTTCTTCATTACCGACCCTTTTTCTTTTACGGTTTGAATTCACATTTTCTAATGATGCATTTTCGATTTCCTGTCGAATTTTCAGCATCCTACCTAGTAAACTTTGAGACACGTTTAACTTACATGCTGCTTGTTGCTGACTCATTTTCGGAAGCTCGTCATATTTTTTAAGAACATCTAATTTTTCTTCCACACTCAAATCACGTCGTTTGTTCATTGTAACACGAAAAATAAAATTTTTTACACAGAATATAAACGCAGACAACACACTGAACACGACGACGTCTATTCATACACTACCTGTCGTACTAATTGACATTGACGACTGCTTGGTTTATCGTGAAAAAGTAATTTATTTTATCTCCGAGATAAAAGGTACCGACTTATTTATAACACGTTTGTTCAATGTATGTATATTGTATAATGTATATATTTTATTTATTTATCTAATTTTGAAATGACCCTATTAACCGGTGTGTGAGTCGAATAGACGAATTTTTTGCTGTGTGTTAGTATATGTGCGAATCGGGACCAGCCGTTTTGAGTCTAATAGGCGAATGCGGAATGAGTCAATTAACCGTGAGTCCAATAAGCAGCGACCACTGTAATACGAATAATGATAGCACCGGCGTCCAGGATAGGCAATTTAGCTACACCGGTGTCGTAGGTATCTTTCCGTTATCTTAAGATATTATCAATGGTTTGTTCAAAAATTATCTAAGCAAGATTATAAAGCACAATACCTATTCAAATATTATAATATTATATTGCAATTAATATAATGACTGAATTCAATTTTCATAATAAATAATATTGAAGTATAATATATTTATACACTTAATTTAATCTATTAAATTTATAATATGTTTGTAACCCATTAAAAAAGTTAGAAAACACAGTTATGTATTCATAAAAAATGATATTGGTGAAAATCTTGGTTTGAAAACATTGGTAAACCAAATACAGACGATTACAAAAAATACATTTATTTATTTTATAACCAAATAAGTATTACTAAAATTGTTTGTATATTATATTATATTATTATTTTTTTCATTAAGTTATGACTGTTCAAAATAAATTTTCAAAATATTTTAGCTCTTTTTATATATAATTTTAAATTTTAGACTTAGATTTGTTTCGATATATGTATAATCCAATTGTGTTTGTTTTTTTTTTTAAAAAACAATAGGTACAAAATTTCTCATAAGTTATTCCTGATATACGAAATAAAAGATACCGAAATCATATATAGTTATCATTTACACATTTGCAATATTTCTTATAAGCGTTTTGAGTTCAACTTTTTACAAAATTCATTATTTTGTAGTATAAAATTCATACCTTAAATTTGAAAACTGTTTTATACTTATAGTATTAACATTTAACAATGTATAAAATGTTCAAGTTTTATCATTAAGGCTTGAAAATAAAATACAATGTTCCTCATAAGTCATAAGTAATCCTTACTGAAACCCACCAATCTTAAAAAATATATTCAAGCACAAATTGTTTAACCCCTCCCTACACCACCACCTCCCCACGACTAATCTAAGACTGGCTCTGCTTGTGAATACTTTAATTAATTATATTAGATACTGTATTAAACCCGTGTATAACTGTTTCAGTTCAAATCTTTAGTAAAATTGGTGTTTGAAATTATCGCTGCATCGTCGTTGGTTCTATTGGACATCGTGTTTTATGAGGCATTGGACGTGATCAGGAGACACGCAAAAATCGATTACTTCCAGACCGGACACCACAACCTGCACATCAAAGTCAAAGGAACCGGTATGATCGCCAACCTGCTCAGATCTGTCGTGGATCGGTTCAATTTCAGGAAAAACATCACCGTCAACCTTAGCAACGAAAGTTAGTACAATACCTTATACTCTATAAAGGCTACAAGGGGTGGCTATATATTATCGTAATCATCACAAACCATATAATATACAGATCAGACTTACCTACCAAGTATCCTTAGAATAGATTCTATACCATTTCAAAATCTTTGGAAATAATTAGTTTGCGAACGAACATTCATTGTGTTCATATTTTAGGAACTGCATGTGAACTTATATAAAATATATAGTGAACGTGAATAAAATTTATATTTTTAGGAAACTTGGGTCTTGGATGACTTTAAGTTGTTAAAATTGAATTCCTTTTTTTTAATTAAATTTAATATTTTTATCATGTTATTATAACGAAATTATACAATTTCGTACTAAAACCGAGTTTTCAGTCTTGGATATTGTAAAAGCTAAAATTTCTTTCAACTCAGAAGAAAGATACTTACTTACTGTACAAAACACTTACCCCAATTGATATTACAAATTGTAAATTGTATATACGTAGGTACTCAGTGTAAAATATAATATACGTGGCTTTTAATTTATTTACCTATTTATTTATTTAAATTGTATGTCTACAAAACTGACTAGTGGGCAGTGGCCTAAGACAACAAGACAGTACAAAAGAAAAATACATTTTTTGAGAATCAAGTATTCAAATGTATACAGGGTGTAACAGAAAGATATGACATATACATATACTGGAAATGTAATTGAGATAACAATACAACAACAAAATAATTAAAAATTAAACGACGGATCCTGCCTGATCGGCAATGCTCATAATCCTGAATTAATCATCTTTAGGTATGAGATGTAAATGCAGCTACACGCATCATATTTTTCCTCAGAATATAAAAATAACAATAAATATTTCTTACTTTCAATTGGGTATACTTACAACAGAACAATTTGAATTTCGCTATCTGCTCTTTTATTAGGATTAAATTAACTACCTATTAAATATCCATAATCCCAAAATCATTAGAAAATATTATAGTGGTTCAGTTTGAGTGATTCAGCCGGTTCAGGCCCTGGTGGTATTTCAGATAGTTTTTTATTTCGTTTTGGAAATGTCTTCAGCTGACCTATTTTTTTCAATTTGTAATATTATGTCGTTCCAGGAAGGATTTTCCCCTCAGTTTGGTAGATGAGTCAGGTGACTCCAATTTTAAAATCGAAAAATTTATCTTATATCACAAACTATACCGTCTAATTTTAGGTTTACATTTTATGGGAAAGCTACTTGAATCAGTTTTTCTAATTCACATTGAGCGTACCGTGCAAACAGCTATACATGGAAGGTATATCAGTCAATCACCACGAGTTTTTCCCATGACATTCTATTAGGATTAGTGCGATTGATTTTACCTACTACTTTTGTGCCTGACGCTTTTAAATCTATAGTTACGATTCTATGTGGTACAAACTGAATTTCTAAAGGATTTTGATAGTTGAATCGCGGTTCCTTGACATATGTTTTAGATCACATAGATATCTGGGTAAAATCCTATTTGAGTAATCAAACCAAGTTTGTCACTTTAATACGAAATTTTCCCCTGAGTAGACGCTTCTCCCGGGATAATTATTTCTCCTTGTCAAGTTTTTAATTTTTTTGATGACACAAAAAGTCTCTTTCAAAATCGAAGATTGTCCTGTTCAGAAATAAGTTCTAGATCTAGATACATTTACATTTATATTTATAATCCTAGACTTAACTGTTAATATTATATTTGACTACAAGATATAGTACATACCTATTTCCATTAAAGACACGGTTTAGATTCAACATGATTTGTAGATTTAGATATTATTATATTAAGATTTATAATTTATTAGAATACTTAAATTAAGCTAATTAATAAAAATGAAATGAGGGAAAGAATAACTATATTCAAGACATTTCAAAAATATTTACTTTTAAATTGTGTTCAGGCACATACTTCATATTTTAAAAACTTCTTCAACGCTATATTAATCCAGGCATGAGTATACCATTACTTTAAGTTATAAATTAAAAAAAAAAAAAAAATACAACAATACATTTTGTATTGTGAGAAAAGGGGTTACACAGGCACACAGCTACCTAACACAATCAGTATTTTTCTCATTTCGATTTGATGACTCACACAGTACTTATATTATAATAACTAATGTATATAGGTAAGGTCTTAGGTGCGTATGCATTATACTTATTATGAACCTATTTTAAACATAGATAACATAATAATATTATACAAATGTTAATATTAATAAATTATCAATTAATAGTGTATAATATAAAAGTGCATAGTGGTATAAGACATAAGTAGCACACCACGAGTTGAATGCCAAATATCCGAATACGTTATAATAAAATATTACAGAGACTCAAAAGAATGAAATATTGTAATATTACTACAAGTAGACGGGCAAAACAAATAAGCATGATTAGCGTGCTCTATACATAGGTATACATAATATTTCAGTTTTAGTACTATAAATTAGTGTCTAATTTAATTCGTCGTCATCGTTAACTTTTAATGGTTTGTCGTTAAATCCAACGGAGTCGTAAATCGTAATAACGCATCTTGTGGATACCAACTCGCGGTATATAGGTACGCATACCTATAGTATCTACCTATTATATTTCGTGTGTAGATATCGGATTAATTATCCGACATCATTCGATGACAAATTTTAAGTACCTACGTAATTAGTTTTATGTTTAGGTATACGTCATGTGTGTATATATTTTTAAACTACGACTATATAATACTGCAGTGTAAGTTATACGATCGTTAAGGCTACCGACGCATGTACATTATACCTACCTATTCAATACGCCACATGTGTGTGGTACCTATAACATAAATACATAATAGGTATAGGCCATACTTGAATACTCGTTTAATATAGGTACTAGAGACCTGCAAAAGGCCAGCCCGACCCGGTACTTAAAAAGCTCGTAGTGACATTGGATCGGGCTGAGCTTTTGAAATAAAATAAAGGGTTGGACAGCCTTTTTAATCCTGGGTTTTTTTTTTGTACAATTTTTCGAATAATAAATCAAGGGTTGGACCGGGTTTTTTAAGGATTTTACTTCGACATTAAATAATTACAATTTAAAATAATAAATTATAATGATAAAACTGACGTTGGTACAGATAGATACATATTGATATAGTAATATACTATTATAGTATATTATAATATCTGTGTTTTTACTGGACACAACATGGCAGGCGGCAGGGGCGGATCTAGGGGAGGGCACAGTTAATATTTTCTGATCAAATTGGCCTCTTTTCAGATCTTGAGTAGTTGGACACTTAAACAAACACACATATAGTATAAATGAATTTTAGATTCTGAGTGGAACGATGAA